CCCCAAAGCTCCTACCCCCCGGTGCTCCCGCACCCCCATTGCGCGGGTCTGCACCGCCGGTAGTCATTGGTAGTCGTGCACTGGAGACTCCCAGCCAGCGGGGTTCGCGGCCGGGTCGCGGCGGCGCCTAGTGGCGCCCTTGTTGTCGGCGCGGCCAAAGTGGTATGCGGTTTAGTTTCTCTGCCATCCCGTTGAGCGAGCTTGTCGCCGGTGAGGGAGGCGGGAGGCGCGGGGGGCGCGGGGAGGGCACAGCGCGCACTGCACAGGCCGCGCAGGCCGCTTGTGCACAAGCAGGCCGTTGTGTGGTATTGCGTTCCGAACTCTCGGCCGCTGGCGCTGCGCTGGCGCCGGCACCCGTGCCCGCTAATGACAAGGCCAGGTCCACGTTGACGCTGCAGTGGCGTGCGTGGCAGCGGTAATGTATCACACCACGTTTCCCGCGTCTCGTCGGTTTCGGTTTCATAATGGAGGTCCGAGAGATGATGGGGGGCCCGTGAATGAGAGGGGGAAGGACATGAGGGCAAGCCGCAGTGCTAAAATCACAATTATCTTTATTCACTGTACACAACTTTTCAATATAATCTGATGATGATCTTTGAGATAATGCTTTATGTACACGATGTTATGAAAGAGCGAAGATGCCCTTATATTTACAATGATTAGACATTTTATCACTATCAATCGTTGTCCCGGCTTTCTCCGAGGACGATAAAAATCTATATTTTGTACAAAGTTATTTCACAGTCTCTGACGTATCCAATCCATCGTCTACACGAGTTCATGGACAAAGCTTCTCCCGTCAAAGTTTCCGCAAGAAGCAAAACAGTTCTACATAAAATTTTTCTAAATAATAAATTTAACAACGGGTTTAAACAATATTTTTTTTAAAAAAAGTTTGACGCCGCTACGCTTAATTTTGGCAAGGTCTGGGACGAGTGCCCCATAACATTAACACTACCACAGAACTCGTCATTATAATTTCCCAATTATTATTTTAATTGTTATAATTTTGGCGTGGTTTAATCTACTTTAAAGGAAACCCCTGTGCTCCACCTCGCCCGCCAGGTAGACCCCACGTTGGAGCTCCCAAAGACCGATTTATTGGTGTCTCTACGGAGGCTTAATCCTCTCTGTCTCTTTTCCTCAGACAGACAGGTCAGCACTCCACGTGCATCACGCGTTGCATCACCGTGAGCGACGACTACGCCTTGTTCTCGGAGCGACTTCTGTTGGCCTTGCCGTCGTCGTCGCCGTCCTGGTCTTCGTCGTCCTGCCCGTCCTGGCGGTCGTCCTCGTCCTGCGCGGCCATCCACTCCCTCGTGGACAGGTTCTGGCAGCCGCTGTACCGTCGGTGCAGGCGCTGCTGCTCTCGCGAGAGCCCTGCCTGGCCCAGGGTCTGCAGGTCCCTGGCCAGCCCGCACGGCATGCCCGTCAGCGTGGTGTTGAGCAGCGAGGGCGCGCCCAGGAACACGGCGTCCGCATCCGCCTCCTGAAATCAACGAGATTGCTACAGGCTGGAGATCAAAGCGGCGGGCGGTGCGGGGCGGCGCCTCTGTCGGCGCGCGCAAGGCGTAGCAAGGCGCCTCGGGTCGGGCCAGCGGCCGCCGGCCGGTAAGTACGTACCTTGTCCGGCGCCAGGTCGGCGAGGCAGGCGTGCCGGTGGCGGGGCTCCGTCCAGTGGCTCGTCCAGCTCGGCGCCGAAGCCGCGGGGGCCCCGGGGGCTGCTCCGGGGGCCGCCAGCACCACCACGTTGCGGAGCCCCCGCGAGGACTCGTGCAGCTGGGCGGCGTGCCGGACCAGGTCCCGCGCGTAGCTCTGGTCCGCGACCACCACGACGCGCCGCGCGCCGCAGTGCGACACGTCGCGGAGCAGCTCCCGCGCGGAGTACATCTCGGTCTCGTCCAGCTGGAGACAGAAGACAGAGTTAGCGTTTGGCGTAAGCACGGCGGTGACGTTGAGGTCCACGTGGGGTCACTTCAGGGGGCGGGCGCGCGGCTGAGTCGGGGCTTCTTATCCGCCCTTCGCTTCCGCCTCGCCGCCACCCCCAAGGCCGCCCGC